GTGAAAGTTTCCGCTCTATCGCGGATGTCATACCGAAGGCAGTATTCATAAGCAACAAGGTCAAGAAAGTTTAAAACTCAATTTAAAAACTACATTTTAAACTGATAAAAGTGATAGGGATTTACAGTCCGCGACACTTGATTACTCTCACCACCAGATTTAAACTCATTTTTGTTAATAGTCAAAATTTTGATAAGCAAGGATACAATGTTTTAATAGTATTCGTCCAACAATTCGTTTAATTCACTCATATTTCACAATGGAGAAATTGTTAGAAGCAACTATAATAATTGATAGTGCGACACTTGATTACTCTCATTCACTCATTTGTTTAATAGTAATTTGAGTATATTTGAGTGATCTAAAAGTGATTGGTATTGTTATGGGACGCGGTAAAACTTTATCGTTAGAAGAAAGAGGGCGAATTGAATCTCGAAAGCTTATCGAGAGGAGAATTATTCAAAACTAGAAATTGCAAGAAAAATCGGGCACAGCTCATAGGTAATCAATGTTTATGTAAAGGACAGCGAATACTACGGAAATAATAGACAAGGACGCACTTCAACTGCAACAACACTAAGGGAACGTCGTGCAATTCTTCGCCAACGGCTAGACAAATAAGGGATCGAAGTGGAAGTAATGCGTCCATACGCACTATCCAAAGGGTAATAAAGAAATGTACAAACTTAAAAAGAAGAAAGCTACGCAAGAAGCTTTTGCTTCTTGCACGTCATGGACAAGAACTTTTAGAGTTTTCACGCATGCACCGTAACTGGACAGAGGAATGGAAAAATGTCGCTTCCTCGGATGAAAAGAAGCTTAACCTGGATGGTCCTCATGGTTTCCAATATTACTTTCATGACGTAAGGATGGTAGAAATTTTTTTGGCTCGCCGTCACAACCGGGCAGGTTCAGTCATGGTTTAGGCAGCAATTTCAAGTAAAGGCAGAGGTGGCATCGAGTTTCTAGAAGGTCGGCAAACTGCTCAAAACCATTTGGAGCTGGTGCAACGGCAAATTGCTAACATAACATATTTCCGCATTTCACACCGCCCAAATAATCCAAACCTGGTTGACTGCTAATAATATTTCAGTTTTATACTGAAGGAAGGCAGTTTAATATTAGAGAAGAATTAATAGCCGCTGTTAGAGCCGCCTGGGAAGAAGTTCCAGTGAATCTAATAGAAAATTTATTCAGTTCATTGCCTCATCGAATGTTAGCAGTCATTGAGAGGCAGGGAGAGCATACCAAATATTAAAATGAGTATTAGGTTTAAATGTTGTGTTCTAGGCTCATTCCAAAATATGAGAGTAATTAAGTCATCAAAAATCAATTGTAGAATACGAAAGTGTAAAACAAATTATTAAATAAATATTGTTAAAATCTTAAATCTAATGTTTGATGAAGCTTACCAAAGAAAATTTTTTGCATTAGTGAAAACTAGTCAAAATTATTAGGTGGGAGTAATCAAGTGTCGCGCACTGTATATCCCAGTAAAACCCTTTTGAAAATTCTTATGAATGAAACCACAATTTATGTAAATTCAAAAAAATTTATGTAAGAAACAAATTGATATCAAAATGAAATTTTATTTAAGGTTTCCCGATTTATTTCGTTTTGTTATGGACAAAATAAATCTCCAACAAAAAGATGACAGCGGTGGGATTCGAACCCACGCCCTTTCGGACTGGTGCCTAAAACCAGCGCCTTAGACCGCTCGGCCACGCTGCCTTGAACTTTGACGCAGATATATAGTATTTAAGCGAATAACATTAATAAAACGTCTGAAATACTTGTAATTATATAAGATTTTAAAACGAATTTTTGACTCTCGCTCGAAGACCAATTGATAGTCGTTTTTATTACATATACATGAAACTTTGCTCACTGTTATTGTCTCATCAGTAACTGTGGCGTAGCGAGGGGTCGGTAAAGCGCTACTCGTAAATGGGCGTCAATTTGTCGCAAAACAAAAATTGTTAGATAATTTTTATTTTTATTATACATATGTAATTGATTTCGAAAAAATATGATTTAAATTTAGTGTTAGTCTAATCTAAAATAAACTTTAAGCGAGTTTTATTGAAATATGTACATGCTAAATGCTAAAGATGCAGCCTCGATCGAATAATTTTAGAGAAATTAGATTCCGATGAAATTTCATTAAAAAACTGAAGATCACTATGTTACGATAATACTACCGTGATGGCAGGTCACACATCTGGCGTTCAACAAAGAATAATGGAAAAAATCATAAAGCATTATTTGTGAATGGTGATAATATTTTATTGAATTTAGTAGGAGTTACTGCAGCTAAACAAGATCCAATTGTTGTGAAATGTTTTAGAATAATTGAAAACATATATCTCTTTTTCTCACGTTCAACGTTGTGAGGGGAGCTATTAAAAAATGCCTTAAATTAAAAACTAGCCGAAGTTCGAGACAAAATTTGTGAAGAGGCAATAGAAAAAGGAAAGTATATTTGTGGAAAATGGGATATTGATACAAAAATACGTGTAAGAAGACGCCACAAAATGTCCGGAGAATTGGCTTGAGACTAGAGATGCTGGTCTTTCCGCAGAAAGTGAAATTTATTGCGTTATTAGAACCGTTCTTGATTGTCTCCAATAAGAAATGATGGAAGAAGACAGGATTTATTTACACGATTCAGTGACCTTAATTTCAAATTTGGATTGCTGCTAGACGCTGAAAATTTATTAAACAGAGATAATATTGGCAACGACTTTGAGAAAAATTGTAAAAAGTTTGTTTCCTTAACTACATTTTTTGTCTCACATTTAAAGCCTAGCTTGGGACTATAACTTTATTTATTTATTAATTTGCGAGTATATTTTACATATATTATATGGTTTTAAGCGCTGAAAAGATACTGTGCCCCAGGCGATGGTTAAGCTCGCTACGCCACTGATCAGTAATAATATCTGCTTATCTAATGTCGCGTCCAGACCTATCGCAACGCGGAGCCCGACGCACAACCGCGATAGGATAGTGCCGATACGAGTTTTATTCTTTTTTGATTTTTTTATATTATTTTTGACATAATATGTAGTAAAAAAAATTATCAGGCAAGGACCATGCAGAAAATGTTGAGGTTCCAACTTTAAATAATAATAAACAATAAAATTTAAAAACAAAAACAGTTCAAATTGTGAAATGCGGATGCAGCTGAAGGGTTGAAAACGGTTTTCGCCGATTTGCGGCAAAACGTTGCGACCTAGCGGAAAACCTTCAATGACAGAGTTGTATATAGGTAACAAAACATCTAAAACTTGTATTTAACACTTTGTGACATAACCTCAAAGTAACCGTCAAAATTGCAAAAAAGCGAGTTTTCAGTATTTAATTTTTAAGATAAGTATTTTAATCTACTTAAGATTTTTAGTAAATCTGCTATGTTGTCCTGATCATTTATAGCTTTAGTTTGATTCAGGCAACAAATCTTTTATATGCTTTTGTACCACTGATGGAAGAGACACGTGTTAAAATTAGAAAGGCAAAATGTTTGGACCTTACAAGATACAAAATTTATAGATCTGTGAAAATGTCTAAAGAATTTCTGTACGAAAGCCACTTTTTCGGATTTATAAGCCGGTTCCAAAAACAACCGATTAAATTGACAAAGTGTAACTGCGGTTCCAGGTTTCACGTCTGGAACACTATTATTTTAGCGGTTACGTTATATATCGATAATTCCTATTCAATAAGCTACCAATCCAACATATGTTTAGGGACTTTTTCAAAATAATACTTAATAACAAAGTTGATATTCGATTTTCAACTGTTAATATCTTCTGGAAATTTTCGAAAAAACTTTTTTTTTTATTTTGTTCTCGTCGCTACTACGCCTTAAAAGAAATGCCACTAATTTTGAATTACCCTTTATACATTTTAATAAATATGGAAAATTGTTTTTATAAGATTATTCAAAAATTATTATTTTCAGTAATTGGCGAACTAGAAAAATTTATTATTATTGAGAAAACACGATTGTGTAATTTTGCTTTTTTTTTCTAATGGAATATAATATATAAAATAATTAAAGCGTAATATGCTGCATAAACGTCTGCGGTGTTGTCAAATCACGATGCAAACTTATTTGTTATGTTGGCACTGGTTGGTACCCAAACAAATCAATTGTCAATTGTCTGTTGACGTTGTGCTTGACATCATAGAGTAAGTAAAATAAGAGAGGTGGCAATCATATGGGCGTCCTTGTTACCGCGTTACGCAGGTAGCGCTGCAACTGGCTGACCGGCGACTGACGGCACTAAAATTTCGAGTTTTCGGACAAGAAGCTCTGAGCATGTGCGAAACGTGCAGGACATAGTGAAAATAAAATAAGGGTCGGTTAAATCAGTTCTGTCCTTTTTCAACTTGCAGAACAACGCGGCTGGATATTATTCTTAAATTGCTAAGTTTGCTAAATGAAATTAACCCATGAATTCAATTTAACCTTATTTTAACCACGTTTCTGATTGATCGGTCGAGTTAAAATAATTTCATATTTCTAATACCTGTACGGTATTAATACCTACAAAATAACATTTGCTGTCGAGACGTACGTATTGCATCGTAACATAGTAGT